AGGAATCGTAGTGGGTTGTGTCGGCAGTGTGGGCTGCTGAGTGGCAGCAATGCCAGTTGGCATCATTGCTGGGTAGCTTTGTGACTGCGGTACCCAGGTGTTCGGGTGAAATTGATTCAGCACCGGTCGGGCTGTTGGTGCATATGGTGTTGCTGGTGGCTGCGCGGCAAAATAATCCGGCCACATAGCTGCAACGAAGTGGGTGAAACAAACACAGTTGCACAAGCAAAGTGCAGGCTGTCCTGGTTGTCCCTGCTGGACTGATTTGAGAGGTCGTAGACGGAGAGAAGGAAGAGGGCCGAGTACTCTCCGAAGAGAGCGCTGCTTCACTTGCTGTAGACACTGTTACCGCGTCTGCACTCATGTCAGATGCACATGCCCTTGCGGTCCCTGAGGAATAAAGAAGCGGTAGAATAGAGGGCAGACTAGCGAGGTAGCACCTGCTCACTAGACGCACTTTACTGCATTAGCCGTCCCTTACTGCACCTGCACTCATGTCAGACTCACATGCGAGCATCAGAGAGAGAGAGATAAAGTAGCATCGGGAGATTCTGAACGATCTGAACGAAGGCTGAACACCCGGTTCATCACCGGTCTCCCCGGAGGGTCACCACGGCGCCATGACGGAAAGCCGTTGCTCTGGAGTCTCAACGACCCACGCTGATCACACTGATGGATTCGGCCAAGAGTACGAGTGCAAGAGGAAAAGAGAGAGGCATGTTGTTCATGTTGCAAAGTTTTGTCAGATTGTGGCAACCGTACAACTTGTTTGTCTAATCTGGACACCACAGGGGGCCTGTCCTCAAAACTAATCTTGGCACCACAGGGGGCTGCCATGCAGGTACACAGGACTGATCAGGTCCCGCTTCCCACTTGCATCCACAGCTTCGTTGAGTGTGGTAGGACGCAAGTGCCACACTCCCCTGCAACAGTTGATTTGGTAAATGTCCAATGCCGGATTATGTTGAAAAGCGAAATTGCAAACAGTGTAGGAGTGACCCTCTGCTCCCATGTGCTAGGGAGGTTCACACACACACACACACACACACACACACACACACACACACACACACACACACACACACACACACACACACACACACACACACACACACACACACACACACACACACACACACACACACACACACACACACACACACACACACACACACACACACACACACACACACACACACACACACACACACACACACACACACACACACACACACACACACACACACACACACACACACACACACACACACACACACACACACACACACACACACACACACACACAACACACACACACACACACACACACACACACACACACACACACACACACACACACACACACACACACACACACACACACACACACACACACACACACACACACACACACACACACCACACACCACACACCACACACACACACACACACACACCCCACACACCACACAACCACACCCACACACCCACACACCCACACAACCACACACCCACACACCCACACCCACACACCCACACACCCACACACCCACACACCCACACACCCACACACCCACACACCCACACCCCACACACCCACACACCCACACACCCACACACCCACACACCCACACACCCACACACCCACACACCCACACACCCACACACCCACACACCCACACACCCACACACCCACACACCCACACACCCACACACCCACACACCCACACACGCACACACGCACACACGCACACACGCACACACGCACACACGCACACACGCACACACGCACACACGCACACACGCACACCCGCACACGCACACACGCACACACGCACACACGCACACACGGACGCGAATGAGCCTGCTGGGAGTCTGGGAGTACCACAGAGGACGCTGTCAATGTGTCCATCATGTCAAGTGATCCCAGATGTCGAAGGCAACATTGGGAGAGCACCGGAACCTTGGGAGTCGAATGGAAGCAGTGGAATTTGCCCATGTGTGCTTTCTGCCACACATGTGGCAGTGAGGCGATGTTGGGGCAAGCAGCAGAAATCTGGGAGCGCGAGAAGAGAAAGCAGTGGACACTGTCCATTCGCATGTCACATGGGACATTTGGGGCAGGTGTTCCCAAAAAACAAGGTAGATACCGATACCCTCTTTCTATTTGCAAAGCTACACTTTTTCATGAAGCCAAGGCAGTTTGCACCGCTGCTGGAGTTGCCTGCGCCAGCTCTCACCATGACACGGGCACAGTTTGGTGAGGGATCCTTCGGAGCTGTGATGGTGGCGGCCCTCGGCGGAACAGAGGTCGCGGCGAAGTTCTTTCGCCGGCAAAACGAACACGCAGCTCGCCAAGAAGCTCGTGCCTTGCAGGCATGTTCGCACCAGAATGTGGTGCTCAACTACGGCATCCACGAGTTTCAGGACCTGCCGTTTCTGTGTATGGAAGCCTTGCATGGGGGAGACCTTGCTTCACTACTCTTTTGGGAGACGCAGAGGCGAATCACTGAGTGCAAGGCTGTCCTGCTTGTTCAGCAAATGTGCCGGGCCGTGAGCCATCTTCACAGCCTGCATTTCCTGCACCGCGACATCAAGCCTGACAATTTTGTCCTGGCCCACGTGTGGAACCCACGGCACAAGCACCCCCCATTGCTCAAGATTGTGGACTTCGGACTCGCATGTTGGGCCCCTCCCAGCAATCGCTTTACAAACAAATGCGGGGCACATTCGTTCATGTCCCCTGAAATGGTGGGAGGCGGAGGCTACAGTCATCAAACTGACATGTGGTCTTTGGGCATGGTGTGTTATCTCATGCTGTATGGGCATGGCCCATTTTCTGCAATACGCCAAGCTGATCTGGAAAAGATGATTCTACGAGCTCCAATATTGCCCGGAACTCAAGCAGCAGCTGTCCGGATGATAGTATAGTTCGTTGCCGCTCGCATTGCTTCTGGCTGCGGGCAGGTTTACACGGACACCAAAGGGCTTTGCGCTGAGCCGCCGAGCGACTCACTTCCTGCGCGGTCTACTTGAGCGCAAGCCAAGTAGACGGTGGGATGCTGCATCAGCGCAGCGTGCATCATGGTTCAGCCTTTGAAGATTTCACTGGTGAGCCCAGCAGTGGAAGACTCAAGCAACTCGTCTATCAATCTCATTCAGACGTAAGTAGGTGCGGAGCATGCTCGATCAACGCATTTAAACTGTTAACACGGCTTTCCAACTGAATTTTTACATGTGTGTGTATCAACATGTTAAACATGTTTAAACTCACTACTTTTCGCACGAGCGAGGTGGGTCCCAAAGTCATAGGCCATAGGCTGGGTTTTTAGACACGACAGCTTGGGCTCATTTTTCGCGCGAGCGAGGTGGGTCTCACGGTTGGGCTGAGCTGCGAGGGAGGGACATGGCAGAACGAGAACACGATGGCGTGGGCTCACTTTTCGCTGAGCGAGGTGGGCCTCACAGTTAGGCTGGGTTTCGAAGGACATGGCGGAACGAGAACACGACCGCGTGTGCCGGCGTGTGCTCACTTTTCGCGTAAGCGAGGTGGGTCTCACAGTTAGGCTGAGGTTTCGAGGGGCATCTCGGCAACACAGACAGCATGGGTTCACTTCTCGCGTGAGCGAGGTGGGCCGGGTTTTGAGGGACATGGCCAGAATACAACAACTTGGGGGTCACTGTTCGCATGAGCGATGTTGGTTTTAAGTTGAATTTGGGTTTCGAGGGACGCGGCAAGAATACGACAGCTCGCGTTTCGCGTGAGCGTTTAAACTGGGTTTCGAGGCACAACGCGACGCTACGACACAAACAAAGAAGCAAGGGGCACATGCACACAGGCAAAGAGACAGACAAACAAGCACGCCAGCAAACAAACACACTCACACACAGCACACACACACTCCCAGATACATCACTCGCAGGTATCCACATACACACACCCACATTCCCATTCACACAGACACACACACACAGATTGAAACCACAATGGGTACATGGAATCTCGGCTTGGTTTTGGTGTAACAGCGCACGCATAGCGCAAGACGGCCCGGAACGGACGCCGACCCTCGCCTTAGAAGCAGCAGGACGGCACCACGAACAACATCAACAATGGAACGAACCCGGTACGGATCGCCAAAGCCGCAGCTGTTCATAAGAACTGCATCTCAAGTCACATGTACTGAATGATTTACTGGAGTTTCGTCCAAGGCTCGCTGTCAGGCTTTTACAGCTCATACTCTTCAGATGCCAGCTCTTGGCCATGACACGAACACTCCTGGCTGGCATGACTCCAGACACTTCTTCGGAACTGCACGCTCTTTCAGCACAGTCGCTGATTCATATCACGAGTCTTTATACTGCCCTTCGACACAGAGTTACACGCACGCGGAAACAGTCGGGCCCGAGTACGGAACAAGAAAACAGAACGCGACCCCCTGGACGCCCCGTGCCAACGAGGGCCCGACGGACAAGTGAGTGAGTGAATTTTCGGTGTTACTTTTCTCGCAAGAGGTTCTGATTGTCCCATCCCGAGTATGTTTAAGCCGATGTTGCAGGGCATGTTCACACATCCCGAATGTGTGTAATCCAAGCCTTGAGCGCATGCTTACACAGTTCTGAGTGCAAGACATCCCGATTGTGTTTCAATCGATGTTTAGACTGAATGCGTTTAGAGCAAAGGCTTACACTCGTCTGGATCTGGAACATTTTTGAACGAATGATTTGAACACGTACTAATCAGGTTGAAATTACTAGTTTCGTGTTTAGCTGATCCTGGCATAAAGAAGATTTAAAAAGGTTTAGAGTTTAGACATGACTTGTTCAGTGGGTTGCCTCAGTGCTCTGGATCTTGAACTAAGACGTTTGATGGCACGTATGTTAAACACTGAGCTTGGTGTTGAGTTTGCTTGGCAGTCGGTGTAATCAAGCTGATAAGGTTTTAGAACAGAACCCCACTCCAACCCTGAGGAAATGGCCCAGTTCCGTTCGGATTGGCCGAGGTGTCATCATTCCGTCCGCGGTGAGTAGTTGTCACGAGAAGGGCATGAACAGAAGCTGAATGAGGGCACTTGTGGTAGAAAAAGGGTGACTGACTCCGACACAGCGCCGTGGCAGCCGAATCTGCTTCCGAGATCTGCTTGCCTTCCATTTTCCACAACAGTTCTAGGTTTGCTGTTGTTTCTGTTCCAGTGTCATTGTATATCTTATCATGTCATTCTAGTAGACAGCTGTGTCCAGGTTGGAACGGAACTCTTCCGGGTATCTAGGTTGGGGGCAACAAGAAACCGCGGGGGGAACAGCAAGCAGTGCTTTACTTTCACTTTCCGAGCGTGGCACCGTGAACTTGAAATCACCAACTCTCAATGCCTAAATTTTATTTCCTGTATAATGTATAATTCCTATAGGCACTGCATCCCAAAGTCCGTGTGCAATTGTGTCAAGTCAAGCCTTCAAGACACGATGTCATTATCTGGAGTGCAGAGCGTCTGCGCTGGATGCTGTCCCGCAGCCCCGTCAATTAGCACGAACCTCTAGGCATGAAGCTAGAGGACTGAAAGTTTCAGAAGCACAAATGCTTCCTTTGATCCTGTGACGGAGCCATCGACCGGTATACTTTTGTCGCTTTGGCTCCGGGTTCAAAGCATACCGCAAAGGCCATGTGCAAGGTGGCGTGCAGCAGCATGAGGCCACTGCGCTGATGTGACAAGATGAGGCATCAAGCCTGTCGTAAATACTGTCAGCAGCGAAAGCAATGTTGGGTATTTGTTGACCAAGACCATGCACAGCTACAGCCGGGAGTAGGGTGCATTGAGCTGTGCAAGAGAGCTCCTCTGTCGCTACCGACAACCCACTACTGTCGTTGGCTAACCATGCCCTTTTCTCAGAGAGCTCCTTGTGCAATGGATTCCTCCATGCTGGCACAGGGTGAGGCATTTTGGACATTTGTCAGTCGTTTGGGGAATGTTTGGCCCCTAGGCTCGCGCGTCCTTCAAGCTGTCTTATTATTGAGCCTCTGATGGGAGGCCTTCCTCCGGCGAAGGTTAGTTTGGCTGACAGGCAGAAGCGGCAGCATGAAAGGATGAAAGGGCGTCATCTCTTTTGAAGCTTCGCAAGGCTCATCGCATGGTACATGCGATACACGGAGCCGACGGAGCCTTTCGAGCCGGTGCTCGCCTGAGTTGGAGCGTTGCGTCTCCACTTTGCGTCGAGTGCCTGCATGCGAAAGCTGACCAATGACGCTTCCGAGGCTGCAGAGACGTTCGGTTTCTCCAAGGTGTGCACGCTATGCCAGGGCAGTGCACAGGAGTGGTTTTTGCGAAGAGCAGCATGAAGACATGGACCAACCAACCACACCGCCCTTGACTCAGCCCTTGACCATTGCAGATCAGATGTTTCGACTCTGCCTCTGACACAAAACAATGTTGTCGGGCGCTTACGAGAAGATCCTCCAAATCTTCCGAAGCGGGTTGTTTTTCCCAAACCCAGTGCCCAACCCCCTTCTAGGAAGAAGTACGACTTCGAGAACAGAGGCCCCTGCGCTTGTTTGCCACGTCCCGACACTTCCTTGCATTTCTGGAGGCCGTGGGATCAAGAAGCTTGCTGAGTTTGTCGGCTAGGCTGCTCGGGCAGCGTGTCCACCTGGTTTCATGTATCAGTGTATCATCGTGCATCATCATGTATACGCTTTTGCCAGGTTGGTGCCTCAACGGCAACTGGCACGAGCACGAGCCATACTTCGCTGGGATGACCGTGCCTCCTTGCTGGTTTCTGAACACTTGCTCAGGCTCGGCTGAAGTTGAAGTGGAGAGCAGCTGCCATGAGGTCGGGTCATTTGCGGTGGTGCAAATGGCGACGTAGTGCCCCAAGATGAGATCAAGCAGTGTGTGAGCACGACACGGAGGCGCATGTTCGTCCTTGCTAGTGGCTGTTAGTTAGGGAAATGAATAGGTGCATGAAAATGACAAGCCGACCGCGCATTATCACACACTGTTTTACGCATGTCGGAGGCCGTAGCCCCTGTCCGACAGTTCATGTGTCAGTGCAGATTGTTGGTGGCAGATGGCGGTCCGCAGGAAAGCATTTGCTATCATGCATCGGGCAATTGTTTTTGTTTGATGGCCTTTTGCCTAGTGTCCTGCCAGCTCCAAAGACAATCCCGGGGACGAGATGGCATTCTTGCAGCGCAACATGGACCAGGCAGGCGCTCCCGAAGATGGCGATGAGGTCTTACTAAACTTACACGGGTCATTTGTTAACTGGTTCATGCGCACTCTGAGGTTGACTGACTTTTGGCCCACACGCCGTGGACAGCGTAGACATGCGTAGGCGCTTCGGACTTGTTCTCAGGAAGATTCGGGCATGCTTGTAGTTATAGGCCGGAGGCTGTGACCGTGATCACAGGTGCCAAGCTGTCTTGTTCGTGTATAGACTTTTAATTATAGTCCCCCAGCTGGTGACATCCAGTCCTTCAAATCCTCAACCATAAGCCTGTCAGAGTACCCGCGAGGAAATACGCTCTTTAGCGTTGAACCTCTAGAAGCCTTGCAGCCAGATTTCTCGCACAGGAATTGCTTAAAGATCGGCCTCGCGCCTGCTGCAGACCCGGACCAGAGAGTCACTGAGCACAGAACGCTCCACGCACTCCAAAACCCTCCCAGTCATCATTCTCTGCAGAATACCTGCTTTTGGTGGGTCTGACCCAAGTAGCATAAACCCCGTCGGTCATGTCATGACGAATTACATTTTTCGTTTGACTTGATCCTTAAGCCACTTACACATACACACCAATCTGTAACGTGAGCGTTTGCCAGTACCAACGCAGGGTCATCAGCAGCCTCTCTCCATGCGCAAACGACTTCGGCGGCGCAGGCTCAGGCGGATATGCGAGTCAGGGTCATAATTTGAGGGCTACCAGGGGGCAGGGTTGGTTACAGTGCGATGCTTCGGCTTCAGGTTGTACCGCATAAGGCTGGGCAGTCAAACACGGAGGTAGCGGCCAGTCCGGCCGCCTGCCACAGCCACCACCACTCCGCCACGGCCACCACCACCGCCACCACCATCAAGCAGCTTCTACATTCTACATGTGTCTTGTGTGTTTGGATCCGGAAGGTTGCAGATATGATGTCGTTGGCGTAAAGGCTTAGATTTCCTTCCAATGGAAGTTGAGCTCATGGAGTTTAAAGCAAATGACCGCTGCCTTGGCTTAGGTCTTGAACTTGCTTTCGGAGTCGAAACATGAGCAGTTTGGACAGTGCCTCCAATCGGGCAAGCCATTGGGCCAACAGTAATCGGGAAATCGCATTGCTCCTTTTGCCTTCAGCGTGTTCAGTCGCTGTAGGTTTTTCGATGTCTTTCGAAGCCTGACCAGGGCCATTTCGCCGCGAGCGCCAGTTTCCAAGCCCCAAAAGCCTTACTAGTACAAGAAGAGCAGTCAGAACAGAGCAGTGGTGCAAGGACCAGGGGTGGCAATGGCTACAAGTACGGTTATTACAGCTATTGTCGGCCAACTGCCTCCGCGTCAACCACTACGTCATCAACCTCCTCGGCGCCAGAGGAGTCTTGTCGAAGACGCAGTTTTAGTTTGTGTCCGGTCAGAGAATTTGCGTTTATGGCTCGTTGTGGCTGTGTGCGAAGGGTCAGGGATGCTACAATCCCAAAGCTCGAAACAGGGTCTCGGAACCCCCCGCGATTGGTGGCCCACCCGTCCCAAAATCTGAAGCAAGCAAATTGCCGAAAGTCCATTGTCAGGCTACTAATCTGCGTGGAGCAGGGGTTTCTGTCGTAGATTCATGCTGAGCAGAAGCAAGGCGACCAGCGATGCCTGGCAGGCCTTTTGGTCGTGGTGGCCAGGGTATATTTCGGTGAGGGGTCCAACGCGGGCTTGGAGACAGTCGTGGGGCAGACAGTGGAGACGATGCTGTCTACAGGCTGCAAGGGACTCATCGATTTTCCCAAAGATACAATTATGGATGTTGAATCAATGGTGCGAAGGTATGCCGGACTTGTTCCGCCCTTTGGCGCATCTTTGCCAGAGAGCTGCGGCTGTACTTCGTTCTCTGGGGGTCTTCCAAGCTTCTGCCCATGGAGCTGCGCTTCATCGCAATAGACTCAGAGCAGCTCCAGGTGCAGTGCTGGTTCTCGCAACATAGGCACAGGCAGGTGCTGAATCTTTAGAACTTCTGTTTCCGAGAGTAGCATGTGCTGTCAGCAGCCGCACAGTAGACAAGTCTGAGAATCGCAAGCAGATAGAGAAGGCAGCACAGGAGTGCTCCAGCGTGCAGCATCAGAGCATGACCTGAATGCATCAATACATGTCCGTCGTTTTCACCCTGGGCCAGCCGAATAGCCGAACAACGGCTGATTCATGAACGGTCGTTTGGTTTGCCTTCGAAGCGAAAGGAATTGAGCGACTCGTGAGTCTTGCGCTGTGCAATTGACCGTGAGGTTTGTTTAGTGAGGTTTTTGTCACAGTATTTATGTCCACAGTTCCGCAAAAAAACAATGCCTGCGCATTGCTGATCTAGTCTAGTCGGTAAGAACCTTAGCACGAGCATGTCAGCAGCAGCAGCTTTCGCAATTTAGCACTGTTGCTAGGGGTCAGAAGGCGCAGGCTTGTTTATTGGAAGCGCCATCCCCTCAAATTCACATAAGCTTTGCCATGACCCAAGTTTATGCAGTGATTCGTGCGACATTTCGCAATTCGCTTGATGTCTCCCGAGCTTCGAATCTTCCAAACTTCACGACTCGGCCGCAGGCACACGAAGCCCTGATTTCAGTCTATTCGCTGTCCCAAGTCGAAGGTATTCTCTTCACCCTGTGTACGTCTGTACGTTGCTGGAACGAGATGGGCTTGCCGCGCCGATTGCGTGAATCTGTATGATGGCATCGTCTCAAGATGAACGGACTTGTATGCATAACTTGAGTTTGTCGCCCGGCTTGGTTCAGGAATGAAGCTCTGCAGAGAGGCTGTAGATTCCGGTGGGCAATCGTGGATGGTGATGCAGCTCGAATCGGCAGGAGCGGTGCCAGGCACGGGAATGCAGCACAGTCAGTCTTTGCAGAGTCTCGTGACCAGCAGACAGTCTCGATGATGAAGCGCTGAAAGCTTCGGATCGTCCCTGCTGTCTTGGACATGTTTTTTGTCGGTTTGAGCAGTTCCGACATCTAACTTGCAAATGCAATATGTGGTGCCTGCAGGGGGGAATCAGAAACTCGATATCGACGAGGCAATGGAAGGAGGTTGACCTACCAAGCACCGCATCTATCAGCATCTTGTGCTTCCAGCAGCATCCTTGTGATTCAGATTGACACATGGAAGACGGCCTTCGCACGAGCAAGACTCGAGGTCCCTGTCCACGCATCGTTTCGTTGTAGGAGTAGAGTGGGTAAGGGAAGCGATGCAGGTCATCTTTGCGAGTGTTGAGCCAGCTGAATGAAGGTGTCAAGTTCGCAAGTGGAACTTAAGTGCAAGGCTTGCACCCTTCTCCTGCCTGAGTGGCGGGGCACTCTGGAGCTGCCTGGGGCCCAGCGGCGCTTTCGGCAAGGCTTGAAGGGGGAGGAAGGCACAGCTTCGATCTGCTGAGGCCGTCGCACCAGTCGATTCTGCGCGGCTTCCACGCCACACCTTGTGCGGTGCGGGCCTTGCGCCTTAGGAAGGCTTGTCGCCAGAGCTGAAAGCGCTCCGCCCTCTGCTGTAGGACTTCCAGAAGGGCTACTGCGCGCTTCACCGCGCGCGTGGGAAAGCATCTTTGTGTTTCTGCCGGGCACCTACCGACCCACTCGAGCCCAGGGAACTGAGTCTGAGTGAGTACCCCGTCCGTGTCAGTTCCGTTTACAATGACAGACAGGATCTCCTGGTGGCAGAGAAAATTGCGAAGCCCTGACGACCTGAATAGAAGTTTCGGAAGGCACCCGAAGGAAAAGGGCCTAGAGGGTCCAGAGGTTTCCCAGTTAGCTCTGCTCGAGGCTTGACTTTTTCGACTCCCAGCGCCGCCGTGCTCCAGTGCCCAACCCCCTTCCAGGAAGGAGTACGACTTCGACGTCCCGACACATCCTTGCATTTCTGGAGGCCGTGGGATCAAGAAGCTTGTTGAGTTTGCCGGCTATAGGCTGCTCGAGCAGCGTGTCCACCTGGTTTCACGTATCAGTGTATCATCGTGCATCATCATGTATACGCTTTTGCCAGGTTGGTGCTTCAACGGCAACTGGCACGAGCACGAGCCATACTTCGCTGGGATGACCGTGCCTCCTTGCTGGTTTCTGAACACTTGCTCAGGCTCGGCTGAAGTTGAAGTGGAGAGCAGCTGCCTGGAAGTCGGAATGCCGCTCGACGCTGACCATCCTTCTTTCAGCATGCGCAAGTCGGTGCTCTTGAATGATCCAGGCTTGGCTTTCGTCAGCCGACGGATGCAAGTCGGCGAGGCCAGTGCTCCAAAGTTTGGTTCAGCTGGAGGTACGTATATTAAGAGTACATGGCGGGCGAAGCGAGCAAGGGTTGTTGATACTGGTGAAACATGTCTTTGGCAGCGCAACGGTCACGCAGTACTCGCTGTTGGTTGCTTCGCTTTCTGCGCTGGTATCCTTAGGGTCCTAAGGCAGCCGTGAAGATCGAGGCGTCTTTGTCCTTATCCGTGCGGCAATGCGGCTGAATTTTCATCATAAGCCTGGACATGCGCTGCTATCAGGCGAGGGATGAAGGCTACCAGATGATGTTAAAACCAGGATAAATGCCAATAGCCGGATTGACCATGCTGCAACGGCAACATTGATGACAAATCAACAGACTAACAGTCGCACCAGCGATAGCACACCCCTCCCCACCACGCTCGGGTTGGCTGCGGAGGAGGTATGCAAGCGGTTTGGCGGAGAGGCCAAGCCCACAATGGCTACCACGGTCGTGTTGAGGCGGACGACGTCAATGTCCCGTCAATATCCAATAGCAGTGGCCACCTCCAAATCATGATTTGTCCGGATGGAGCTGTGTTCAATAAAGCCTGTGGGTTGGGAGTCGCTCCCTTGCTGCTTCCAACCTATGCTACATAAATGTTGCGTCGCTTCGGTCTGCTTGAGCCACTCTCGCCCCTGAAGCCTTCCTACCCCTTGCCCTACTCTGTTCTCCATCCTCAACCTTGCTTTCTTTACCATTTTCTGCAAGCATCCTGGGAAGGATGCACAGAGGTGTGCACCAGATCGGCGCAGTGTTTGGCTCGCAGTGTCTTCCCATCTACTGGAAGCCTGCAGCTCGTTAGCCATGTCCATGCTCTCTTTGGCGGTGGATGCAGTGGAGGATTTGTTTGGGTGGCATGGCAAGGTGGCCGGATCAGATGTACTTGAGGGGTATTTGGACCCTCTGAGAGAGGCGCTCTCTCTTGATACACGTTTGCTTCGCAACCTGAAGCGCCGATCTGCACTGCAAGATCTACATACGGCACTTCATGCATCTGACGCTTGGCTGCACAGCCTTGCTGCGTTTGCGAATCTGTGATGAGTGCCAGGTTTCATGCGAGACCGGCTTTTTGCAGTAAGGACCGTGCACTTCTTGTCAATCGGGCCACAGTGACCGCAGCTGACTCCTCTAAGTGCGAGGACGTGGCGCGATGGCATTGTTACACATTAAGCACTGAAACCTCTACATTCCCATATCCGCCACAGGGGCTTCACCGGAAAAATCTGAATACTGCTTACCGAGACATCCGGAAGCCGTCAGTGTCAGGTTGCTCTTCAATGCATGCTAGACCGAGTGCTGACCCCAGCTTTTCCTGCTTGAGGAGGGCCGTTTGCACCAACCTGCTATATAGACATGCTTGCTTCAGGCTGCGAAGCCGTTCGTGGAGCTTTGGGATGATGTCGCGGACTTCTTCCAAGCATGGCGGCGTGCTTAATCAGGACGATGCGCGCGGTGTGTGCGTACAGTGCGCGGGGCGTGCGTACAGCGCGCGGTGCGTGTGTGCAGCACGTGCAGTGCGTGCGTGCGTACAGTGCAGGCGGTGTATGCGTATACCGTATACAGGCGGTGCGTGCGTATACAGGGCGCACGCACCGCGCGCAATGTACGCACACAGTACGCACACACTGCGCGGACAAAACGCCCACCAATTTTGAAGTTAAGCCGACTGCGCGCGGCGCGGCACGCACACTGCGTGCGGTGCACGCATACTGTATATACGTACATGCACGGCGCACGCGCGCATGTACGCACACACCACCGACTGTACGTACACGCATGGCGCACTGCACACACCGCTCACTGCAGGTACACGCACGGCACACTGTACGCACACACCGCGCGCACCGCACGCACCATGCACAACTGTACGCACACGCGCAACCACCCCACCGCACCGCACAGGTTTCTCAAGTGGTCCCAACAGAATACTTCAAGCACAAGGTACCGGTGCCATGATCCAAGCTCCGATTCAACCGGCGTCACCGGGGAAGAATCAGAGCCAGATGAACTCACATTCACGTCGCAGGCCCTGGGTCAACAAAAAAAGCTTTCGCATTTCTTACAGAGCATTGGTAACGTGGTTTGTTCTGACCAACCCGATCACGACAGCCTGTATATCCTGAGGCTTCATCACCCAGCTCCGGCATGTCCAGCATCCCATGCACAGACTATTCGACCTCCGCAGATGAGATGGTGGATGAGGCCATTGCAACTACGAACCACCCCGTCGGGAAGCTCATGAAAACCCAACTAACAAGCATAGGCTCCGCCGTGTTTGAACCTTTCTGCCGTGTGACAGGGACAGCTCATGCCTCTGCGTCGAGCTGGCTTGCACGCAGAGCTCGGAGCATCATGCCTTTTGGGGACCAAAACAGCATTGTGAATGTATGTAATCTTTGTGGCAAGTTTTGGTAAGTGCCTCTGCGCAACCTTTCAGCGCGGCTGTGTTTGCAAGGTTATCGCGGCTGGATGGTGGAAGTGGCCTGGAGCATGTGCCAGAGACGGAGCTCGATGAGAGTTCCGAGATCACGCTGGTTGCCTGCCGCATACATGCCAGTCACTTCGGACTCACCGTTTTGAATGTGCTGGGTGCCATGGAATGCTCCGTTCTGGCGGGGCGACTCCTTTTCATCGATGGTCTTGGCTCCATCGACGGCTCCGGCGGCGGCTCAGCCCTGGCCAGTAGCATTTGGCCCCTCGCACGATTCTTGCAGTGCCAGGCCGTTCTCTTGAAAGCCAGGCTGGGCTCAGCGGTGGCCTTAAACCCTATAAGCCCTAAACTGCCCTAAACCCTAAATGCTGAGCCTTGCCCCTCTGCCAGGGCCGGCTCGGAAGGTTTCTGGGCCCGGGCAGGCTTCACAGGCCTCCTCTCAGCTTGGCGCACGAAGCGCAGAGCCAACCAAGCCGGATCACCTCAGAGGCGAGCTCTCACAAGTCTCCATGAGGCCGGCACGGCGCATGCTCGATCAACACAATCATTTACTTTTAATTGCACGGTTTTATGAAGCGAGTTTTTACATGTTTTGCATGTTTTAAACTCACTTTTCGCGCGAGCGAGGTGGGTCTCACAGTTAGGCTGGCGGCGGAACGAGAACACGACGGCGTGGGCTCATGTTTCGCGTGAGCGAGTTGGGTCTCACAGCCTAGGACCTAGGACATGGCGGAACGAGAATACGACGGTGTGGGCTCACTGTTCGCGTAAGCGGGGTGAGTCGCTCAGTTTGGTTGGGTTTCGAGGGACATCTGGAGAACACCGTCCGCGTGGCCTCACTTTTCGCGTGAGCGAGGTGAGGGACATGGCGAGAATACGACAACTCGGGGTGACTGTTCGCGTGAGCGAAATTGGTTTCACGTTTTATCTGGGTTTCGAGGGACACGGCGAGAATGTGACACCATTGGCTCGCGTTTCGCGTGAGCTTTTAGCTGGGTTTCGTTCGAGGCACATCGCGATAATACGACACAAACCAACAAGCAAAGGGCACATGCACAGAGACAAAGATATATAGAGACAGACAAACACGCCACAAAACAAACACACACACACACAGACACGCGGAAACAGTCGAGTTCAATGGCAAGCGAGTGAGGTAAAACTTCCGTAGCCCGCCAAGTACGGAACAAGAAAACAGAACGCGACCCCCTGGACGCCCCGCCGCAACGAGGGCCCGACTGGCAAGTGAGTGAGTCTCCTGTGTTATTCTTTCTCGCAAGAAGTTCTGATTGCCACACATAACGAATAGGTTGAAGCCGATGTTGCAGCGCATGTTGAAACAGTTCCATAATGAAGTGCCACACATCCCCAATTTGTTTAATCCAACTATCAAGACTGTGTTTAAAGCAACGCTTAAGCCCGTCTGGATCTGGAACCTTCCTGAACGAATGCATTTGAACACGTAGTGAGGTTTGAACCATTAGCTTCGTGTCTAGCTTATCCTGGCATAAACAAGATTTCGACAGTTTAGAGTTCAGACATGACTGTTCAGAGGGTTGCGTAGGTGCTCTGGATCTTGGACGAGCGTGGTTGATTACACACATGTGTTAAACATTGAGCCTGGTGTTTAGTTCATTTAGCGTTAAAACACAGATGTGGAAAACACAACAGTCACATAAGACCCCCGCCCCAACCTTCAGGAAATGGCCCCAATTCCAGTCGGGTTGGCCGATCGAGATCTGGAGCATCTTGTTTCCAACGTGTTGCAGGCTGGATGATGGGTTTCCGCACAACTTCATCTACAGATTAAGCTTTTACCCTGTGGTTATGTAATCTCGGAAGCTGTCCCTCGCACTAAAATAAATCAAGCGTTTGTTCATGCGCGTCCTGCATTCTATCAGTCATTTGTTGTCGTTGCAGGTGGCCAACGCTGGTGCCATGATTTTCTTTTCCTGGGTGAGCTGAACCATTCTGAATTTCCGAGATGTCTTTCGAGGAATGTTCGCCCTCCAACAATCTCCGTTTCACATTTCAGGTGCAGGACTGGACATTCAGCCCCTGACGGCAAACAGCCGCGGTGCAATTGTAAGACTCGGAATGTCACACTGTCCTGGTTGATTCTTTAATGGAGTATAGCAGTATAGCACTCAATGAGAAACGAGCTACTACAATAGAGTAATAAAGATGGGGTAGATACATGAATCGCGGGAGCAGGTGTCGGCGTTAGTGCTCCCATACTTGAAACGTTGACGCAACTACAGCAATTGACGGACACACGAATGCCACTTACAGCTTAATTCATTAATTATAGGAGCAGCCAAGAAGACCTACTATACGGCTAATGCTAGGGTATATATATATATATATATGCACAGATACTTGTATATATGTCTATGTATATATATATGTAAATGTATATGTATATATATATATATGGAGAGAGAGGGAGGTTGATTGCAATGACACTACAGATACGGCCGTTCTCTTCAAATATGACTTTTGAATCATGCAGTATGTCTGCTCTGAGTGCTGATGGAGCGTCATTCGCCCTCCGACTCTCACTCCACATCTCCCCCTAGCTACCTCTTTCTGTCTCTCCTCTCCCTCGTCCCTCTGTCTGTCCCATACCTCGCAATCGCATCGCGGCCTATCTGCCGTTCCTTTCGGCAGACCTTACGACATCTTCCGAAGTTTAGCAACAATCAAAGGCTGTATCCCCTTGCCAGGATCTGGTGCGTACGTCGCCTTCAAGATGCAGAGTGCAGTAGCCTTACGAGAGGCTGCACTTCGCATTCGCGATCAAGATGTCAGCCAGGAGGTGAACGAAACTCACGGAAAGCTGGCCACAGCCTTATCCGTACGATAATGCGGCTGAACTTTGATCAGAAGCCTGGACACTGTACTGCTAACAGGCGAGGGTTGAGAGCTGCCAATGGATTTGGATCAAGAGGAGGCGCCGACAGTGACTTGGTTTCCAGAAGAGGAAAGAATTCACGACGCGCATCTACGCGGGGTTGAACACGACACGACTGCAAGGCCATCGCCGACAAGCCGTCGATCCCGGTCCCTGACATGGTACTGCCGCAGCAGTCGTGGCTGTTCTTTCGGGCCGTGCGTGGCAAGGTCCACAGACTCGCAGAGCTGATGCTGCCAAACGAACGGTGAGGCCTCTCGTCACAAGGCCACGGTACGTGCCGTGCATTAGCGAAACGAGCCCTTGGCGGCTCCCTTCGGAGGCGACGATGAGCAGCAGCTTCTGCGAATGCCTCTTGACGTGTTGAGAAGAGATAGGAATGCTTGACAGCCATGTTGTGACAGCGCCTGAGTCGGCTGTACCAACTTCACAGTGCGGAAAGCCACGTTCGCCACATTGTTGGCCAGAGCCTCGAAAGTTTGCTTCAGCACCGACTGAGCGAATCAATCCGTTTCTAGCGCCGCCGGCCTCGTTGTCTTGAACTTTGCTATTGAGACCCTGCCGTTTGTGCAGCAACTCATTGCAGAGGCCACGCTCGTCCGGATGGAAGATTTGGTGAGTCCAATCTAGGCTCTAACTTCACGGTCATAAGCAGCTGTCAGCATATGCTGGCGGTGGTGTTGCACACGATGAGCAAGCCTCAGCGTCAGAAGTGGGGTATCTATTTTGGCTCAACATGGTGATAGGCTATCGCATAAGCATACCCCACAATGATGATCCCAGGCAAACGGCAAATCAAAGGGTAGAGTGGGCAGGGAGCGGGGCAACTCTCCTTCTGTTGGAATGTTCAAGGCGGAGTGTTGAGCGGTTCAGGCTTGCGTCCGTCGACGGATGGGATTCATTCGGCGTGGCGTGTGCACCAGAGTGTGGGAGGTATGTTAAAAGCATGCTTGGGAGCAGACTTGTGCAAAGGTTGACGTTCGTGGTGGCATATGTCGTTTGCAGCGGAACCTTTGCATTTTGCAGGTACCGGCTGCATGGTTTTGGAGGCAGTCGCTGGCAACAGCACCAAAAATAGTCCACACTACTTGTTGAAGTAGCGGAAACAGGCCTAGATGCAGGGAAGCTTGCTATTCAGCATCAAAGAAGCCTTCTTTTGGGAAGCCGGGCGTCTCAAACTGGCGTGGACAGTCTTATAGTTGCTATAATTAAGCTTTCCCGTCAGATGGGCACGCTAGGGCCCTTTTGGATTCGAGCTGCCTTAGGGGCAGTACAGTTTAAGGTGAACAGGCTCTGGTCCGGTCTTTCAGGCTGCTGAGTGGTGTCGATTCTGAAATTGCACAGAGGCTCTTGTGGAACACATTCTCAAGAGTTCACTACACAATCGGCCCGAGTACCCGTTTCCCCAGACCGGCGTACGCCCGATCCGTACCGAAACGCAGCCGAAAGCAATGGTTCAGGTCACTAATTGTCGGGAGCCTTGTTTCGGCACCGTCTTTCACATCCGCTGTGTAACTGCCTTTTCAGAAACCACACATTGAAACTCGGAGAGTTGTCTTGGTTGTTTTTTGAAGATGCATTTCTGCATAACCGGCGGGGGGTGGATGGTCAGTGTCCACACCCACCCACCCACCCACCCACCCACACCCGCACCCACACCCACACCCACACCCATACCCACACCCACCCACACGCCCACCCATCCATACCCACGCGCACCCACCTACACCCACCCACACCCACCCCAAATCCACCCACACCCACCCACACCGCGCACACACACACACGCACACACCCCGCACCTGCACCCTCACCCCTAGTAACAAAGCAGTACAGTAGTAGTACAAGAGTAACACCGTGTTAGTACAGTAGTACCACAGCTGCAGCACAGTGGTAGTACAACAGTAGTACAGTAGTAGTACAACAGTAGTACAGCAGTCATGCAGTATGAGTACATCAAAGTAGCAAAACTCCTTCTAGTAGTAGTAGTAGTCGTCGTCGTCGTCGTCGTCGTAGTCGTAGTCGTAGGAGTAGCAGTCGTAGGAGTAGGAGTAGGGTAAGGAGTAGGAGCAGGGGTAGTCGGAGAGTAGTAGCAGTAGTAGCAGTAGTAGTAGTAGTAGTAGTAGCACTAGTAGTAGTAGCAGCAGCAGTGAGTAGTAGTAGTAGTAGTAGTAGTAGTAGTAGTAGTAGTAGTAGTAGTAGTAGTAGTAGTAGTAGTCGTAGTCGTAGTCGTAGTCGTAGTCGTAGTCGTAGTCGTAGTCGTAGTCGTCGTAGTCGTAGTCGTAGTCGTAGTAGTCGTCGTCGTCGTACAGTAGCAGCACAGCAGTATGAAGGTACAGTAGTGGAGGTTTCGGAGGGCATTGGGTCTAGGATTGGAAGGGGGTTGGGGGTCAGGCCTGTTTTGGGTGGGACATAGATTCTTGGGATTTTTGTATTTTGGTATCGTAGACAGCAAATATCACAGACACTGTAAGTTTGTAATTGTAACGCCAACGTCCACCCTTGAGCTTATGTATCTTTGTATGGTAGACTCTGCAATTTTCAGTTTGTAACGCCAACGTTCACCGTTGGATTTTTTCATCTTTGCACGGTAGACCTTGCAAACGTCAGGGACACTGTATAGTAAGTTTGTAACACCAACGTCCACCCTTGAGTTGTTGCTTTCAAAGACACTGTTAGTTTGTAACGCCAACGTCCACCCTGGAATTTGTGTATCTTTGTACGGTAGACTTTGCAATTTTTAAGGACACTGTAAGTTTGTAACGCCACCGTCCACCCTTGAAGCCCTGTATCTTTGTACGGTAGAGACTGCAAATTTCAAGGACACCGTAAGTTTGTAACGCCAACGTCCACCCTTGAATTTTGTATCGAATCTTTGTATGGTAAACTTTGCAAGTTTGAGAAAACACTGTAAGTTTGTAATGCTAACGTCCACCCTTGAATTTTGTATGTTTGTATGGTGGACTCTGGCAAACTTCAAGGACACTGTCAGTTTGTAGCATCAACGTCCACGCTTGAATTTATTTTAATCTTTGTATGGTAGAGAGACTGTTTCTAACGCCAATGTTGACCCTTGAATTTTGTATCGTTGTATGGTAGGCTTTGCAAACTTCAATCGCACTGTAAGTTTGTAACGCTATCGTCCGCCCTTGTTGTTTTGTATCTTAGTATGGTGGACTTCGGCAAATTGCCAGGACACTGTAAGTTTGTAACGCCAACGTCCACCCTCGAATTTTTGCATCTTTGTAGGGTAGGCTGAGCAACTTTCTGGGACACCGTAAGGTTGCAACACGCTAACGTCCACCCTTGAATTCGTGCATGTTTGTATGCTAGGCTACACAAAATTCATGAGCAGTGTAAGTTTGCAACGCCAATGTCCAACCTTGAGTTTTTGTATCTTTGTATGGTAGACTTTGCAAATTTGGAAGGACACCGTAAGTTTGTAACGCCAACCTACACCCTCGAGTTGTGGCTTTTTGTAAGGTGGACTTTGCAAATTTCTGGGACACTGTAAGTTTGTAACGCCAACGTCCACCCTCGAGTTGTTGTATCGTTGTATGTTAGTCTTTGCAAATATCAATTTCACTGTAAGTTTGTAACGCCATCGTCCACCTTTGAATTTGTTTATCTTTGTGTGGTAGATTCTGCAAATGCCAAGGAAAATTTGAAGGACAATGCAAGTTTGCATCGCCAACGTTCATCAAAAGGCAGAATTTACAAATTTCAGAGACGCTGTAACTTTGTAGCGCCAGCGCCACCAACGTCCTCCGTTGTTTTTTGTGTCTGTGTATGATAGCCTTTGCAAATTTCACGGGCACTGTAAGTTTGTAGCGCCAACGTCAACCCTTGAATTTTTGTATCTGTGTGTGGTAGACTTCGCTAAATTCATGGACACTGCAAGTCTTTAACGCCAGCGTCCACCCTTCAACTTTTGTATTTGTGTATCGTAGACTTTGCTAAATTCATTGATACTGCAAGTCTTTCACGCCAGCGTCCACCCTTTGTTTTCTGTTCATCTTTCTATGGCAGACTCTGCAAAGTATAGTTTACA